GTTATTTTGGAAAATATCTTAATAAATATAATGGTTCCTACATCCCACCTGGCTGGCGAGAATGGGGTGGATTAATTATGAATTCAAAGTATTACAATTACTCTATAAATATGAATGGAAAGAAGATAAAACATGGATTTGACTATCAGAAGGTAAACACATATTTGAGTTAATAGCTGCTTTAGATTCAAATTATTAATTTCCTGCTACCATTTATACGACAATCACTAACGTGTATCATCTTTCTTCACTTGTATTTACGAAATAGACCAAGAGCTGACTTCCGAAATAGAAACGATAATTTTAGTAGGCAGAGTGAGATAAAAGTTCAACTGAAATTTTTAAATTTTTCACTAGAGCAATTAAAAATGTAATAGGAATGTTTATGAAATATTCTAGATAAATATAAATTTCAGTAACTGCGCAGCTGCAATGGTTAAACTTTTTTACTGGAATTTGTATTTCTGGAACAGTTAAACATTATATCTGAAAATTTAAAATACTCTGCGAAAAAATGCAAGAATTCAAGGAAAGATGGGATGATACAAAAACTGCACGAGTTGCCAGGGAGCTCTTAAGTTATCTTGACAACACTGCAGCAAACAAATACTTGACTATGACTAGACAGAATCTGTGCCTAGCCACAGGCATTCTGACTGGTCATTGCCAAGTACGAAAGCATCTCCATATCATGGGGCTATCAGAATCCGCACTCTGCAGAGGGTGCGAACAAGAAGATGAGACCATCGAGCATATCCTTTACGATTGCTCGACGCTCTCATTTATTAAAAGATTTGTGTTCGGCGGGTATCGGCTAACACCGGCCGATATAAAAGAAGCACCTCTTGACGACGTTGTCAACTACATTAAATCTGTAGGCTGGCTCACGAGCTAGGAGGTGCCTATCTTCTCAAGATGATGCACAATGGGCCTAATGAGGCCTAAGTGCCGTGGGGTAACCCACCCTCCACACGTTACATATACAGATGGGGGTCTGCATTTAACTTTCCGTATCTGTATTTCTGCAAAGAGCCTTACGACATTTTGTAAAATATTTACTCAGAAAAATTACAAGAATTAGAATAAAACTAAACTGTTCTAGATGGATGAACTATTATTAAAAAATAAAAAACAGTTAAAATGAAAGAATTACATATTTTGATGAACCTTGTCCCTATTTAGCATTTTGCAAAATGAATATACACTCGCCGACTTAAAATGATTTATTTAAAAATGCTCTAACTTTCAAATGCAGAAGCTGATTTATTTGAAGTTTTTAGCAACTTTTAGATAAAATACTATAGTTTTAAGATTATTATTCGGACATCTAAAAGTAATTTAGTACTCGCCGCATATACAAGGGAAAAGAGAAAACAATTTTTTCCTCTTCTTTTGACACACTCTGTAGGTTAATTCTGCTAGTAGATCTGCACACAATTAACTTTATCAAGAAGACTGATTTGTTTCCAATACTTTGTTTTTTTATTTACCCCGATATCTTAATTTGTTTGTAAAATGTGAAGCTTTAAAGAAAATGGTACATTTTAGAAACGGTCATAATTTAAATGACGGTAGAGAATAAACTACAAAATAAGTGTGCTGTGGCCAACTCACAATATGACAGCTGTCACATATTCGTTACTTGCAATTGCAGTTTAATTATCAGCATAATAAATATTCATTATCAGCATAACATCATGGTTTTAACGCCTACTGATGCAGCCCGAGCAGTTGCTCTGGTACAAGACGGTAGATCTCAGTATTATGCTTCTAGAATATTGGGTGTTACAAGGTGTAACGTCCAGAGAGCTGTACAACGTTTCAATGAAACTGGTAGTTTTTCGAGACGGAGAGGATCTGGCAGACGACATTCTACAAGTATTCGAGATGATCGTTTTGCAACATTAAATGTTTTGCGAGAAAAAATACTACTGCTGTGATGGCTCGAAATCGTTTAGAAGAAGTACGTCAAGTAGCTGTTAACGAAATAGTAATTCGAAGGCGATTACGAGAACATGGATTACGCTCCAGAAGACCTGCAACTGGTCCGGAGTTACTTAGGAATCACAGAACAGCACGTCTTCGATTTGCCAGGGAGCATCAAAATTGGAATGTCGATGACTGGAGTAAGATTTTATTTTCTGACGAGTCAAAGTTTTGTTTACGTTCTCCTGATGGCCGTGAAAGAATATACCGAAGAAGGGGCGAAAGGTTTGACCAAGCACATTTTTCCACAAGACCCAGTTATGGATGAGGATCGGTAATGGTTTGGGGCAGCTTAAGCATGGAAACTCGTACTAATTTAGTCATTGTTGGCGGCGGAGCAATGACAGCTAACCGATATATTCGTGATGTGCCAGATCCACATGTAATTCCATTTGCACTGTTTATAGGAAACGAATTCATGTTTATGCATGACAACGCTCGACCACATATTGCGAGGATTGTATCTCAATATTTGGACGAAACAGAAATTTAAAGGATGAACTGGCCATCACGTAGCCCAGACCTCAATCCAATTGAGCACGTCTGGGACATGATGGGCAGACGAGTTCATAACCGAGTTTCTTCTCCAAGTAATTTAAATTTTTTGAGAGATGCTTTGGTCCAAGAATGAATCAGATTGACCAGATGGAGATTCGACATCTAAGGTATGCCACGACGCATTGAGGCAGTTATTCGCGCTCGTGGGGGAAATACCCGTTATTAATTTGTAATAATTATTAGTTTATTTGTTGTTTGATTTGCTTATAAAATTATGTATTACTCTGCTAAAACTGAATAAAAAAATTAAGAATGTTTTCTTTAAACCGTCACATTTCACAAAAAAAAATAAGATATCGGGGTAAATAAAAGAACAAAATGTTGGAAACAAATCAGTCTTCTTGATAAAGTTAATTGTGTGTAGATCTACTAGCAGAATTAACCTACAGGGTGTGTCAAAAGTAGAGGAAAACTTTTTTCTTTCCCCCCTGTATATCCGGCGAGTACTAAATTACTTTTAGATGTCCGAATATTAATCTTAAAACTACAGTATTTTATCCAAAATTTGCTAAAAACTTTAAATAAATCAGCCTCCGCATTTGAAAGTATTTTTAAATAAATCATTATTTTGAATGGATCGAATTTTAAGTCAGTGAATGTATTATCATTATCATCATTGTTTACATTGGTAAGTTCTGGTCAAACATTTTGCAAAGTTACTGAAAATTAATACTTCTATTTAAAATGCGAGCGTTTTTAGAAAATGTCTAGTCTTTTGCAAAAACCCGGATTATTTAACACGCCTGCGACATATACATAGCTATTATAATATTAAATTCCTATTCTTATTATTATTATTATTAATATTATGTTGTGGTACCACTAATAATGTTTATTTTAAGTAAATAAATAAATCAGGATGTAATTATTGAACTTTTAGTAAACTGCGTCATGCTGATAGAAAAAATAATTAACTAAATAATAATAGATAGTAATAAAACTAACTTTTTATAAATTATTTTAATTTATTTAAAATGCCACGTAATTGCTACATTTTTATGTATTTAAAAATAAATATTTTGTTTCAGGATTACTACTCTGATTTAATTGCGAATGATTCGATTGCATTTTTGAGGCATTCAAAAAAACAGTACCAATTCAAGCCGATAATGCTTACGATGTCGTTTCCAGCACCCCACGGACCTGAGGATTCCGCTCCACAATATTCTCACCTGTTTTTCAACGTTTCCTCTCATCAGTAAGTACATAATATTTCATATTGGTTTTTAAGCACTCGTAAAGGGGTCTACGGAATGATGTGGTTGCGTTGTGGTTTAACGTTTAACCTATCAACGTAATAGAGAGATATTGTAAATGTCTATAACGTCAGCCACTAATAATGACAACGTAATTAGAGAAAAATAAATTGCATGCTAAAACCAAATTTATTGCAAACCTGAAGTTTTAACGTTAAAATTCTTGTCCTTATACTTATTTCTGACTTCATTTTAAAAACTATAAGTTATAGTTAATATTTGTTGTTGTCTATGACTTGAAGGTTATCCGAGAATGGCTCGGGTATGAAGGGTGGCTCCACCCTAAACTAAAAATAACATTTTTAGATTATTGTTTATGCTCTTTTCAAATGGGCAATCAAATTATAAAAAATCTGATGTGTCCAACACATCATGACTTTCCTATCTAGTTATTACAGGCTTTTTCCGGTTATTTTGTACAACCTATTGCAGCACCTCCATAAATGTTTAGAGGATAAAATAAATATATACATTTTCCACATACATCTACCTCGAAACATTTTTCTATAGATATTCATTGAAAATGAAAATACTGAAAAATTTAAATTTTTAGCACTTTTCCTACAATTTTTCCATTGCGGTCCATTTTAGAAAAATCATGTATAAACAAAAATTATAGAGATCGATATCGCAAACAACTTTTATTTCAACAATTTTCATAAAAATCGGAATTTTGAACATTTTGTCAAATTTCTCGAATACGGACCATTTTAGAAAATTTTGACATTAAGCAAAAATTATAGATAATAATATTAGAAATAACTTTTATTTCAACAATTTTTTTCTCCAAACATAAATAATAGATATATTCTATAAAATATAAAAACGGCCCCCCATAAAGTACCCCCCAGATGTTCCGACTTTGTCCAAAATCTAATCGTTTCACGTCAGGCCGAAATAAAACTTAAGTTTAAAATTTAATGTTTTTTTCTTTATCCGTTTTTGAGTTTTCTTCAAATTTCGAAATTTACACATTTTCTCAAATATCTCGAATACGGTCCATTTTAGAGAAATTATGTATAGGATAAAAATTATAGAGAATTATATTGTAAAAAAATATTTTTTTACATTTTATCAAATTTCTCGAATACGGACCATTTTAGGAAAATTTTGTATAGAACAAAAATTTTAGATAATAATATAAGAAGTAACTTTTATTTGAAAAATTTTCTTCCCCAAACGTAAATAACAGATATATTCCATAAAATATAAAAATGGCCCCCTATAAAGTACCCCCCCAGATGTTCCGACACTACCCAAAATCTAATCAGCACATTGGACGCTGGAAAAAAGCTTAAGTTTGAAATTTGGTGTTTTTCTGTGTATCGGTTCATGAGTTATGCGACAAACAGACACACACACACAGACATCATCGCGAAAATAGTCAAAACGGATTCAGGGAACCTCAAAACGTAAAAATCCGTCGAAAACTCGAGGTCGAAAAAATCATGATTCCTATACTTTCCTTATATCTGTATACAGATAGGAAAGTAAAAATCAGTAATACAGGGTGGTATTTTCAGGGAGGAAGAATTTGTGAATATTTAGCTATGCCGGATCTGGATTTTCCTACTCTTTTATACATCATTATATTCGACAAGATGTCATAAATATCTACAGAGTTATTCCCAAGTTATGAATAAGGAAAGAAATAAATAAAATTGATAAACCACCCTGTATCTCGGTTATAAACGGCCAAAGACCTAATAAATAAGGGTTATCTAGAATCACCTCAGTGGTCTCCATTCACAGTTAACGCATGTCCGTTTCCCAATGAATCACACTGTATAATATGGCAGAGGCATTATAAATGGCCATTTTAGGCGATTTAGATAATGATAATATAATTATATTGTAGTGCGAGACCGGTCCTGCTCTATAACGCGACGCCCAGTCTACATCGATACATCCGAGAGAAAACCCTTGCTTCTTCTGTGTGTACGTGTACAAAGAACCCTTATTTTAGTTATTCATTGAGATATCGGAATAATTTTTATTTTGTTTGAAATACTTAAACAAATTTCTTTCTTATAATGAATTCAATTATTCTGTGACGTCATGGCTTATTTCCGGTTTTTCCGGAAATAACAGAAAATCGCAATTTATCTTTAATTGTTAAGTTGAAACTCACATTTATTATTGTAAATTTGAATATCTGGGACATTTTTGTATAATAATCGTGTATTTAAAATTTTCTGGCAGCTGTCAAAATGGCCGCCATATTGGATATTTTTTTCTAAACATGTTACTATTAATTGGTTTGTGGAAAAAATATAGGGACATATGATCTTTATAAAATCTTTGTAAGCTTCAAAATTCCCATTGACACACAATTGCCGTATACCAGTGGCGTATCTAAGCATTTTTATTAATAGCAAACCGTTTAATAATTTCATCCGCTTTATCTTCGTTGTTAATTATTAAAATATCGGAATGAAAACTTTTTGTTTAAAAGCTTATAACATATACTTGGGAAATGTTCTTAGTTGAGAGTCATACAAACATTTTGGGAGCAATTTAACTTTTTTTTTATTTTCATTTCTGATTTCACACCTATTTCAAGACTATATTTTTTGCATATCAACCCTTACGCCGACACAAAAAAAATGCGTTTCAGCTATATTCAGAATTTCTTTGAAACACAAATATCCGGTCACGTGACCGAAATTCCTACAACGGAAGTAGCAAAACAGGACGACAGAAAATGCTTACATAGCGATTTTTTAAGCTATTGCATAGCTTTTATCGCGGGCTTTGAGCGCGGCGACCGAATCAAGAAATTCCGTAACGAAAAAAAACCTAACACCCCCAATCCAAATGTAACAACCGGCAATGCCTAGCGACCATTTGCAACTACGGATAGGTCTTTAGCTACTGTTGTCATTATACTATTAAGGGATAAAGGCAATACCTGTCACCAGCCCTAGGGTCCTGGAGTCCTGAAGGAACATCCATTCGCCAGTGGCAAAATAAAATAATAAAAAATAATAAAATACAAAAAAAAACATCCCTTAATAGCATATGTCGAGCGGTTTTAGCAACTGACTTAAGACTCTCAAGTCCTTAAGGGTAGGAACGCCGAGGCTTAACATGCTCGGAATATTTCTTACTGGTTTTTGGTATAAGTAAAAAATGAATAACAAATTTCAATAAATCAAAACAATCTCTATTTTTAAAATAAGACAAGCAAAAATTACTACCCATACTTGTAAATCTTTGTTATGATAAACCATGTTAATATAATATAATCTATGATAAAACTTTAATATAATGAAAGCTTTTACATCAAAAAAACTCTTTATATGATAAAACCCTTAAAACTGATAAACATTTAATAAGTAAACTTGGGACGAAAGTGAAAGAATTGGCATTTGAAGAAGACTAATGAACTGTTTTAAAATACATAACCCAAACAAGAGATTTAAACATGTTAAAATAAAATAGATATTACCTTTGAAAACAAAACACTACACACACACTTTACTATATACAATAAATATTAATAATTACTAAGCACATTTTTGGGCATAGGTTTGGCCCAACGGCCGCCCCTTAATGCCGGCACAGCGGTGCGGCATTGAAAGCCGTGTATCGTCTAACGTCGCTTAACTTCGGCAGACCTCGGCACGGTGTTTGTGTGCATGCGACTAGACGTATGCTTGTAGACTAGCTGCTAACTGGTCATAACTGATTCTATCTCTTTTAGACACAATTTCGGAAAAATTGAATTTAAAAATGAATAATAATCCACAAGAATCCACAACAAAATATGGGACCACCATTGACGCGGTATTTTCCAGATATTTAGAGGGTATCAAGTCTCAAACTTATGTTTCTTATTTCAGTTACCATAAACCTATAGTTTAAATGATAAAAATTCCTGAATAACCTACATGTATTGTAAGATAATAAAAATATTTTGAACAATATTAACTTCCCATTTATTCAATAAAAGAAAAAAAATTGTTTTCTCATCGGACACCACGCTCAAAAAGTGTAACTTGAATTAATATCGAAGAAAAAACTTGAATTAATATCAAAGAAAAAAAAATACTGCATAAATAAAATAAATAAATAATTATAATTGCATAAGTTGATAAAAAATGCTATGCAATAGCTTTACTGCGGCAGTCCCCGAGTGCCACACGTATTTTTTATTATTATAAAAACATTTAGAAGCAAGATTCAAAATGAATGGTTAAACCAATGATAGCACAAAAATAATTTCTGATATATACAATTGTTTCGAGATGTAGAGGATTACAGTCCCTTAAAAATTTAAAGATTGATTCTTTAGTGGTATTGGTACAATCTCACTGAAGATGACAATATTTGACAGGTTGGATTCTCTTCTTTGATTATCTAAAAAATTGCCGAAATGTACTAAGGCAGATTCCAGAATAACAAAATAACAATACTCTCGGTTTTTTATAAATTGACATCAACAAAAGTGAAAGATAAGAATAGTGTATTGTGAAGTTTTCTGTAACTTTCATCTCCAACTCGCTAAATTTTTGTTAAAAGGTAGTACTTGAATAAAAGGGAATGTGTTGTGTTGGTGAAACATTTTTTTTTCTCGACTATTACAGGAAGTTTCCCTATATAACTATTTCTGCCTATTCGCGATTCAAGCTAAGCGATAAGCCCTCTGGGGGTACATTTTATAACTTGTGTGTAGGCTAAGTGTTGCCGTTGTTATTAACATTGTAACAAATCTATCAGTATTTTATTCTCAAAAATATACTTCTGTCACAATTTCAGTGATACAAGTAAACGCAGTAACAGCCGTAACCGCTGCAGGAAAATCTTAAAGTTGACATTAGTATAATATCTTTACTTTTTGGTAAATTACAAACAAAATTAACTGATATGATAACACTGTAACGTTTCTTACCTATTTACACAGCGGAAAATGATTTGAATCGCGGACTCAAGATAAAAT